AAGACCAGGACTAAGCCAATCACAGAAAAGCTCACAAACAGGAGTGGGCAACGGCCAGAGTCTCAGCGGGCCTGGCTCCCAGTGGTCCAGTGCACAGACTGACACCAGAGTCTCTTCAAGGGATCCGAGCCATGCCACTGTGGCTGCCTCGGGCGGGCAAGGGTACCTGGGTACTCAAATCTATCATTTGTCTGCCGGAGCCACGCGGAGGGTGATGGTGGCTTCTGGCTCGGAGACGGACCAGGAGCTACGGGCATCAGTGGCAGCTGGGAAACTGGTGGGCAATGACATGGTGGTGAAGCTGAGATGAACTTGCAAGAATGGGTTTCTTTCAGATGATTTCCCTCCGACTGTGGGACAGGCAGAAAGACTTGACGACCTCATGGTGCAGAGGAAAGAGAAGTAGGATTCTGTGACTGAAGTTAGTATCCCAGACTGCTCGTAGAAAGACTCACAGGAAGACTGATTCACTGCTTGAGTGGCCATTCCTACCATAAGGAGTCCAACCCCTGCATGATGTTTGCACTGAAAAACCTCTAGCCTGCCAATCAGATAATAACAAGGAGGTCTTGAAGCTCCACTTGTAGGTCGACTATCTATACCCAGATCATCCCACTGGTGGACTAATATTGGCAATGGGGCATCCACTGTGCCATAGATGTGCCCCAGATACCTGAAGTCTGATCTGCAAGCATCCTAGCAGCTTTCTCCAAAACCACATGCTGTAACAGAAGGCCAGGCAAGGCTGCACCGCTACTCATCACCCTGCTCTTAGCTGCAGGGCAGAGGGGAGGGGTCAGTAGCGCTAGGAGTGTTTGAAAGAGCAGCAGTGTTAGTATAATGAGGTAGCATCCTTTATGAATAGGTCGGATTTTTTTCTAAGTACAAGTAAAAGAAAAAATTAATTTAAAAACAAACTGTTGAAAAGTGTGGATAGAATCAGATTTTCATTTGCTCTGTACCATTGACAGTATTTTTTAAAAGCTAGTGCCCTAAGAACTCTAGAACCTGATGGGTTGCCAGCCTGAAAATGCAGGAATATGAATTCCTGTCCTATAATTTGGGATTAGGAGACTTTTGACTACTAGCCCTACTCTAAAAACCATCTCCACATTTGCTAGAGACCTGGGGTGTTCATGGGGATGGTAGCTCCACACGTCAAGCTTACTGAAGGCAAGGGGAGAGGAGGGAACACTGCTCGCATACCACACACTTCCCCTAGCTTGCCACCGCCCTCTTAGAGCAGCTCCCAGCATCCATCCAGCACACACTCTTCCCTGCGTCCCGCTACAATGTGTGAGGAAGTGCTTTCAATAACTAAGTATCCTAAGCAAGGCCATGCAAAGATTGTCCTTCCATCCTCAAGCCCTGTGACTGGACTCACCCTGTAAGTGAACTGCCAGGCAGTCCCGGCTGACTCACAGCGACCCCACAGATCAGGGTAGAACTGCCCCCTGCACTTTCCAAGATTGTAACTGTTTCTGTGAGCAGAAAGCCGGGTCTTTCTCCCTTGGGATCACTCTACAGCGCAGCAATGTACTATTTTCAATGAGAAGCCTTTCTTAAGTGACCAACTGCTCCCTTGTTTAGCCTTGAAGCCAATAAAATAAGCTAAAGGTTAAAAAAAAAAACCACAAACATGAACGAAGTTACTCAGACCCATTTTAACAAGACCAGTTAAAAATGAGAATAAGAAAATACCTTTTTGTTAATCTATCAGATTAACAAAACAATTAAAATCAGTCATGCACGTTGTCAACAGAAAGGGGGGAAAATCCAAAACACGATGTACTCATGTTTTCCTGGTGGGTGTTTAGATTGACACAGTTGCTTTGTTGAACAGTGAGGGAATCTGGAAGAAATGGGCCCTGTACCAAGCTACATGTCTAGATAGCAAACCTCAAGAACCCAAGGGGACCTATGATATGTGGTTTGCAGCACTGTAGTGTGATACAAAACAGTGCACACCACCTACATGTTCAGCAGCAAGGGAATGGATAAACGTGGTACTGTAAAAAAGGCCCAGAGCACCATCCGATCTCCTATGACTTTTCAAAGGAAAAGGAAAATCTAACTCATCTGCCCAAGGCCAATTCCTATGAGACAGAGGCCAAACATGCCTACACTGTCCAACCTTTTGCCCAATTCTAGCACCAACCAGCCCAAGCACCCCATTTTTCTATTGGGCCCCATAGTCTGTTGCAATCCCCACACAAAACTCCAGATAATCCTCATGATTCTGAGGTTTAGTAGAAAAGTTAACATGTAACAAACAATTCAAGATAGGAAGTGCTCCGAACACAGTTCTTCTGGTCAAGAGGGCCTCTGCTTAGCCACGTCTACAAGCATGCCGCTTTCTCGGCCCTTTGACCTCTGTGGCCCTCAGCCTCCGCCCTCCTGAGGCAAGTGTTAGAAAGCTCTGTTAGGGCTGCTGATGGATGCTCAAGGTCCACTCCACCATAAGCCTCTGCCCTAAGGTGCTGAACACCTTGTAACACTTAACTCCACAGATCAGCAAACCTAGGCCTCCCAATTAGATGGCTGGAGGCAATCACTCTGAAAGTGAGCCTCCTGGCCGCAGGCCCGAAGCTTTCTCTCTCCTTGGGCTGGGAAGGCTACTGCTTTGTCTTATCTGCGGCTGCCGCTCCTCTGCTATCACTGCTCCTCTGCCATTTCTCTGTTGTCCCAGTCCTCTGCCTCCGGGACCACAGAGACTCAGCACAGGGATCTTGGAGTCCAAAGGACATACAGTACTCTACTCTTGGTTCTTCTTTCAGGATGGCAGTGAGATCAGCAGTTCCTGCTTCGGAGATCGCTCATTTTAAACCCAGCAGGGTGGCAAAAACGGACCAATCTCTTCATTCGACTCACACACACTGATTTGCATGGCCCCACTTGCTAACTCCCAAGAGTAATTCAGTTCATCACAGGGGCATCTGTGTAAGGAGGTCCTGTACATTAGTCAGGGGACGTACATTAGTTCTATATGTGACAGTATGGTGTAATTGTGAGGCACTATGAGGTCTATTTCAACTCATAGCAACCCAAAGTGACAGCAGAGAACTGCTCCACAGATGTGTCCTGGCTCCAATCTTTAGGAGCAGCAATGAGCTCCTAGTCCAAGGGAGTGGCTGGGAAGGTTTGAACTGCCAACATTGGGTTAGCAGCAGAGGACTTAAATCAAGGCCCAAAAGAAAATGGTAAGAAAAAGAAGGTTACATGATGAAATCTATTAGGTCAGACTACATAAATTCATAAAGCTTTTAAAAGTGCTATATATTTTCTATCCAGTCTCTATGTGTGTAAAAATATACATTTTTAGAAATAACACACATCATCTGAGCCACACTCACAGTAGAGGTGACTCCTGGGGAAGTGATGCAGAGGGATTTTCATTGTCTTTGTAATGTTCTAGTATGTGCAAAAGGAGACTACACACAGATTCTTCTCTGTGCTACCCTTAAAAGAATAACTTGAATCCTTGTTGGGCTGAGATCCACATGGTTGATAGTTTGAAACCATGCGCAGCTCCTAGAGAGGAAAACTGGACTTTCTACTCTAGTAAACAGTTACATAGTTTCGGAAACTCCAGGGGGTTGATAGGAGTCAGCATTGATTCACTGGTAGTGAGTTTGGTTTTATTCATTTTTAAATCCGAATTGGATAGAGGTCTAAATAAAGGCATGTACGTATGTAAGTATATTTATATATGAGGATGGGGAAATAGATTTATGTGCATATATTTATAGGTTTAGTATTAAGATAGCAGATGGACATTGGGCCTTCACTCAAGTACTCCCTCAATGCAAGACTACTTTGTTCTATTAAACTGGCATTCCATGATGCTCACCTTCCCAACACAGTTGCTGAAGACAAAGTGGGTGCATAAGCAAATGTGGTGAAGAAAGCTGATGGTGCCCGGCTATCAAAAGAATGGCCTCTGGGGTCTTAAAGGCTTGAAGGTAAACAAATGGCCATCTAGCTGAGAAGCAACAAAGCCCACATGGAAGAAGCCCACTAGCCTGTGTGATCACGAGGTGTTGAAGGGATGAGATATCAGGCATCAAAGAACAAAAAATCATATCATTGTGAATGAGGGGAAGTACAGATGGGGACCCAAAGCCCATCTATAGGCAACAGGACATCCCCTTACGGAAGGCTCTCGGGGAGGAGATGAGCCTGTCAGGGTGCAGCGTAGCAAAGATGAAACATACAACTTTCCCCTAGTTCTTAAATGCTTCCTCCCCACCCACTATCATGATCCGAATTCTGCCTTGCAAGTCTGGCTAGACCAGAGGATGTACACTGGTACAGATAGCAACTGGAAACACCGGGAATCCAGGACAGATGATCCCTTCAGGACCAGTGGTGAGAATGGCAATACTAGGAGGGTGGAGGGAGAGTGGGGTAGAGAGGGGGAAACTATTACGATTACATATAACTTAGATCTACATATAACCTCCTCCCTGGGGGACAGACAACAAAAAAGTGGGTGAAGAGAGATGTCAGACAGTGTAAGATATGACAAAATAATAATTTATAAATTATCAAGGGTTCATGAGGGAGCGGGGAGGGAGGGGGTAAAAATGAGGAGCTGATGCCAGGGACTTACATGGAGACCAGATGTTTTGAGAATGATGAGGGTAACGAATGTAAAAATGTGCTTTACACAAGTGATGTATGTATGGATTGTGATAAGAGTTGTATGAGCCCCCAATAACATTTTTTTAAAAATCTGAATTGGAGAAACATGGGTATCTGTCATTTTCTCTTTTGTATTTTTTCAGCTTTTCGATCTTCCTCCCCCCAAAGAGAAACCTGCCTTACATGTACTCACCTCCACCCCCCACCTCCCCCAAAAGATCAAACAGCACACTCCATAGAAAGAACACTAGCCCTCAGCAGTCATGACCGATCCTGATATGTTCAAATCATGTGGTTCTACTACCGTTTCATCAGAGCGCAAGAAAACAGTGCCATCAGAATTCCATCATACTTACGCATGTAAGGCAGTTTTTCTGGGCAGGGAAGATATGGTGAATAGGTGAAGTTTTCTGGAAGATATGTTGTTGTCTGAAGCAGATAGTCACTGGAATTATTGCCTTCAGGGTAATCTGAGAGAGAGAGAGAGAGAATTTACAACAGCAACCCAAAAAAAACCCTTGCCATTTGCTCTGCTCCTTGTAGGGCATGTCCTGACATTGTGAGAGGACCTACAATCTGCAATCTAGAGAGTTCTTAAAAGCAATGACCTATAAAGCACTGGGAAGGGCACAAACACCCAGCCACGGCAGATGCTCTGACATTCACCCACTCCGAACATGACTTCCCCGGGGAACCCCAGGGCCACGTGCCCTTAGCAAGCAGGCACAGAAAGAGCAGTCCCATTTACAATCACAGACTCATGAAGCAGAAACACCTGCTCCCATCCCTCCCCCCAGGCCAGCCAGTGCTAAAGAAGGCGTGAGAACACAACAGTGAATCCGCTGCTACCAAATGGCCACAGGACAATGCTGCTCCAGGCATCCACCCCCAAAGTGGTGGGAGTGTTGCTTTTTCACCATCGTACGCTGAAGAAACTGAGATGTGCCCACTCAATGTACTTCTGTTGTACAGAAGTACAGTCCATTCTCAATCTTTAGTCACTCCCCCCACCCCACGGGCTGCAGCTAGCTGCTGGGAGTCCGGGAGCTACGGTTACATGAGCTCAGTTACCATTAAAGTTAGTAGCCCACAGAGCACTTAGGTCAGTGGGTTAGACATAGCACTGCTATCAATGCCTAAGCTCAAATCCTTTCTCCAACACCTAGTTTTGTGATTCGGGGCAAGACACAGTTACTTTCTCATCTGTAAAATGCAGGTAATCACAGAGCTTGCCACATTTGGCTGCTTTAAGATTTCAGGCAGACTAACCATATGAAAGTGCTTACAATAATCATTGACCCATGAAAATCATCAATACTTGTAGCTAGTGATGTTGTCAGAGATTTCACTTCACGTGGAACCGCAATCAGCATCCAGGAAGCAGCAGTCAGGATCAAAAACAGCATGTGGCATGGAGCAGATCTGCCGCAAATGCAGGCTTGACCCAGTGGAAAAGCCACGATATCACTTGGAAGAGGAAGGTGTGCCTGATCTGCAGCATGGTCATTTCAATCGCCTCTTATGCATGTGCAAAGGCCGGACGTGAATAAGAAAGTCCAAAGAACTGAATTATAGCATTCATGAAGAATCTTAAATATACCATGGGCTGCCAGGAAAAGGAACAAGTCCTTACTGGGAGCAGTGTGGCTAGAATGCACCTTAGAAGCAACGGTGGCGAGACTGTCTCATGCACTGGGAAAAGACATCGTGAGCAGTAAAGTCAAGGGCCAGTCACAAGAGAGGAAGGAAGGTCCTCACCAAGATGGATCAGCAGGGTGGCTGACCCAATGGGATGACTGTGAGGAGGGCGTAGGACGAGGCAAGGTCTGGTTCTGCTGTGCATCCGGTCACAAAGCATTGGAACTGCATGGGCAGCATCTCACAATAGCATGAGTGAGTTGTGAGAGATGAGCACCTGACCCCATGTCGGGCGTTCAGGTCTTTTTTGGCGCCTTTTAAAAATGTACTTATTATTGCAGTGATATATATGGATATAAAGCAAACCATTTGCTAACTTCAACCTTTTTACACATACCACCCAGTGACACGGATAATATGCACTGGATAATATGCACTCGTCACCTCTCGTTGTTTTCATTGCAATAACAGAAACTTAACGCCCCTTAAGCAATAATACTCCCTTTCTTCTTCCAACCACTCTGGTAACCACTTGTCTGCGTGAGATATTTAATATACATGTTAGATCATATTTGTCTTTTCTGTCTGTTGTCAAGGTTCATCCATGTCCCAGCATGCATCAGGTCTTCGTTTCTCTTTAGGGTTGAGTAATAGTCCACTGTAGGCACGCACCACATTTGTTTATTTATTTGTTGATAAGTATTTAGGGTTGTTTCCACATTTGGGTGATTGTGAACACTGCTACAATAAATTCTGGTGTACTTCTTGAGGCTTTTGAACTTAGAACCAAGCCCCTTTCTGGAGGAAAGTTCTAAGATGCAAACCTAGGAACCCTAACCCGGCAGTTTGCTGCTAGGTAGGAGAAGCTACACTGAGAGAATGAGAGCGACATCCAGTAAGAGACAAGTGATAGATGAAAATAACCCAGGAAACTCGCACCAGCCGCCTGGACCGTAAGCAGTGTACACACAGCCAATGAAGCGCTAGGAGATGGTGTAGGAAAAGGCAAAGATATTGAATGTGCAGTTTCTTCTTTCCATCTTTAGAAGTCTGCTATGATGAGAGAGCAGATCCTTCTATGAACTAGCCTGCAGGAGCAACCCAAGACGAGAATTCCCCTGAATGTCTCTCGCCAGACAGCCCTTGACAAGCGTCTGACAAGGGAAATCCTCCAAGCCAATGGGGAGAAAGAGTGATTCATTGAACACTCATTGTTTTGTATGACCAGGAATTCCTATCTCATTGATCTATGCCTAAAGAATTATAGGTAGCAAACACAAAACAATTGACCTGGTGGTGCTATCAGTAAGGCCTTGGCTGCTACCCAAAAGTCGACAATTCAAGCCCATCCAGTGACTTCACGGGAGAAGGGTCCTGCCAATCTCTGCTGTAATTTTACAGCCAGAAACCCTACGGATAGTCCTGTAGGCACTTTCTGTGAGCTGAAATCAACTTGATAGCATCCTACAGCAAAGTAAAACACACACACACACACACACACACACACACACCTGCTGTTGATTCCGTTCTGACTTCTAGCGACCCCATAGGCAGGGTAAGGTTTCCATGACTGCAGACCTTTACAGAGCCAACTGTCGCATCCTTCTCCAACTGGAGGAGCGAGTAGGTTTGAACCACAGACCTTTTAGTTAGCACCCTACTCCATATAACCCACTGCGTCGCCAGGGCTCCTTAAAATCAATATAAAGAAGTCCAATGATGTTATGATACTTAAGATCCATGTCAATATATCAAAAATCCGGCTAGATAAATATGTTTAAAATGGAAACTCCAACTTTGCTAGTGGTAAGTGCTTGCACTCCACACGTTTCCTATTACTCCAATCGAAATACCAAGTGTTCATGGTTTTTTTAAAAAGCCCTCAAGTATTGCAGGTTTTGTGATAATTTCTGGTCAAACTCATTGATTTATACCTCAGACTTATCATCAATCAATAAGTAGATTTTATTGCTTAATATTACAAAATACACGGAGTTGTGTTGTTTGTCTGTTTCATTCAAAAGGAAGATAAAGCATTCTTCAGGAATACAGAGAGAAAAAAGTGAAAAAATTGGAGAAGAATTTTTAAAAATTAAAAATAAACTTCCCAAAAGTTAGGGGGGAAAGGGAGAAAGGTTGTATGATTTCCCAGACCGAATGAGCCAACTGTGTCTAGTGGGAGGGGAGCGGGGAAGTTGCAAGCTGCAGTAAGTGGCACGTCCGAATACACACAGACCCTACCCAGCCACAGAGAAAAAAGCTGGCCCGTATTCGGAAACAGCCAATGGAAGGACCATCGGATTTCCCAAAAGCAACCCAACAAGAGAGAAGACAATGGCATGGGCCTTGCAAAGCCTCTCTGTGCAGCAAGCATGTGTGCCTAAGAGCCCCGGGAAAGGCCGCAATAAACAGAAAACTCAGCAAATGTGGGTTGAGGGGGAGAATACGTAACATCAGTAAAACGTTTCACCACACAAATATAATCACAGCATTATGTGACTCGGGAAAAAAAATTATATTCTCAAAACAACAACACGATTAAATTGAAATTGCAACCTAATTGTATTGGGGAGATAAGAGGGAGTGAAATTGGGATTGGCCTGATTAAACCCACTGTCATCTAATAGCTTCTGACTCACAGCAACCCCACAGGCTGAGCAGAACTGCTCCCGATGTTTCTGAAGCTAAAGCTTGACTGGAGCAGAGAGCCTCACGGCTTCCTTGGGGAGGGGGTGATAAAGCATCCACGTGATTCCTCTTCCATGACGGTAATTGTTACTACTGATAAATCAGGAGCAGAATAATAACTGGTTGGATGATTTCCCAATTTACCTTGATAGTAAGATGCAAATTCAGTCCAAAACCATGGCTTCACAGAGTAAGCAGCAGTTTAAAAGCTGCTCCTGTAAAAGTTGTCAAGAAAACTACCTACATGTATTTGCAACATCTTATACTGATGATGGGGGGGGGGGGGGGGGGGAGGGGACTCAAAGCACCAAAGCGTATGTTCATAATACTGCCGAGCGATGCATAGAAAAAAGGGAGGAATCCATCTCATTGTTGTTTCTGGGCAATGGAAACTATGGCTGAAAGTTATTTCTTTTTATATTTGTTTTTCTATACTTTTGAAAATGGCATGATTTTATAATCTAGTATGTTTTAAATAATCTTATCTGGAGAAGAAAGTCGCCTCACAGGAGGTGGGGAATAAGGAAATAGGAGATCAGTACACAATAGCCAAAACAACTCAAATCGAATGTCACTGAGTGTGTTCTGACACACAGACCGCACCCTCCGTAAGGTTTCTGAGCCATCCGTCCTCCCCGGAGCAGACCGCATCGCTGACTGTGCTGTTAGCAGCCCATCCTCTTACCCACAGCACTACTTGGGCTCCTTAAATACAGAATAAGGTGCCAAATATAGAAAGAAGTTCTCTCTCAGGATTAGAACTCAAGGATAAGGAGCAATGAGATAGGAGACTACTGGGTTTTTAAACAATTATTATTATAACCTTTTAATATATTTTTTAATTAATACTTTAATTTTTTTAATTGAGAGTAATGTACATGGTTTGCTTTTCATTGTGAATAAACAAATGGTTACAATAATACATACTGAAGGCAAGCTTTTCTTTCATCTTTGCCTTCACAAGTTAGACAGCTCACATATACACACAAGACTTCATTTTACAGTTTGCGGGGGAGTTTTTTTTGCAAGTGTCCCCAAAGAACACGTGGGCTTGCTAAATAAATATAATCTTTTTTACTTTGGTAAAACATACACAAAACAGCATTTGAATCATTTTGAGTAAATATTCAATAGAGTAAAGTACATAAGCATGAATATGACCTCTTTCCAGATCTTTTTTATCACTCACAAGGAAAACTCTATATCCATTAAACAATCTTACTCTTGCTCTCTACTGTCACTGAGGCCACTCCGACTCGTGGTGACCCAACAGGACAGAGCAGAACTGGCCCCTGTGGGGTCGGAGAAGTACATCTTTACGTGGCAGAAAGCCTCGTCTTGCCCCTAGCAGCCCCACACGTAATCTGTTAGGAACTACTAGGGGTACTCCCATTAATCAACCACTGTTGGTAGGTGCACCTGAATCCGTTCCAACCACAGTGATCCTGCACACAACAGAACAGAGCACATCCCCACAATTGTGTTTATGCTTAAGCCCCCGGTTGCAGCCACCATGTCAATCCATCTCTTTGAAGGCTTCCCTCTTTCGCTGCCTCTCTACTTACCCAAGCATGGTGGCCTTCTCCTGGCATGAGTCACCCCTGTCAACATGTTCAAAATATGCAGATGAAACCTTGCCATCCTGGCCTCGAAGGAGCTTTCTGGCTGTACTTCTACCAAAACGAGTCAGTTTGTCCCTTTAGCAGCCCATGGCACTTTCAGGATTCTTCTCCAGCGCCGAAATTCAGACATCTCGATTCGTCTTCAGTCTCCTTTATTCACTGTCCCACTTTCACATGCACAGGAAGTGCCTGGAAACACCCTGGTGTGGGCACCTTCACCCTCAAGTTGCCATCCTCACTTTTCAGTGCTCTGAAAGGTCCTGTGCAGCAGATTGACCTACTGCAACGTTTTGATCTCTTGACTGCTGCTTCTGCCAGCATTAATCAATAGCTCCCCATATTGATCCTCTTCTACAGCCCCTGCCAATTTTTATTCGGCACCTGCTATAGTTTATCATTGGGCAGCTAACCTCTAGGTCAGCAGTTGGAACCCACATCTTTCTCTAACAAAGAAAGATGAGATTTTCTATTCTCCGTGGAACTTTGTGCAGTCTCAGAAACCACTGAGGCAGTTCTCCTCTGTCCTATAGGGTCACTGTGAGCTGGAATCCACTGGATTTTAGCGAGACTCTATACGATACATTGGCAGCTGCTGAAAATGGAAGATCAATAAGGTGATCTCCAGGAAGGCTACTGTCAAAGACTCATTTTCTTTTAATCCTGAGGCAAGTTCTTCATTTCTTAATATGATGTAGTTAAGTCTAAATATTTTCTTATTCTGCACTATTTATTAATGGGTCTCAGTTATTTTTGTCCCTCTACTCTTAGCATGCTATGATTCTATAACCTTTATCAATACTTTTAAAAAAAACTTCTCTAGACATGTCTGCTGAGCAAACGCTAACAGGAGCTCCCCCTGCAGAGTTTTAATGGTTCGTGAAGTACTGATAAAAATAAGGAGTAGCACTCCTCCTCAGGGTTTCTGACACTGTAAATCTTTTCTGAAGCAGACAGCCTCAACTTCCTCCTGGGGAGCAACTGGTGGGTCTGAACCACCGAACTTGCAGTTAGTAGCTCCATGTTTATCCCGAACAGGACTCTTTTTGTTCCCTTTAATAGTGTCTGAAAGGAGTGGTGGTGACCATTAAAAACCAAAGAAACTGAAAAATCATCCCTCCTCCCCATTAAAAAAACTTCAAAGGCATATACTCGCAAATTCATGTCATCTGACGATAAAGTATTGGTTCAAAACAAGTGTTATCCTCAGGTACCGTACTGCCAAGAATCCTAAGGAGCTCAATTCATCCCCACGGACTTGGAACAAAGGCTCAGGCTCCAAGGTTAACATGTCCAGAGGTGTTTCCCTTCTCCTATGGTGTTACTGACAATCGTAACATCCTGCAAGGTTACTGGGGTGAGGCTTGCCTTCAAACAAGAAACCGTCCAAGTGAGGTTACAACTAAGGCCCCATGGAAAAAACACACTAGCTTGTGTGATCCAAGGATTGTGAATAATATACCCCAAACCTGAAATAGGGAATTGTATCAGAGCTTACATTGCACCACTCAAAGAATGTAGTCCCTGCCACTGGACCATTCGTGTCCAACTGTCAGCTGACATGCTGCTGTGCATCTTCTCAGCATAAAAAAGACAAGAACTAAATGTATAAGAGGAGCTAACCCTGCTGACCACCTCTATGGGGCAAGGTCTTGGCACGAGCAGTGAAATGACCCAGCAGGACAATTCGCTGGAGATGCCTTCATCCTTAAAAGAGAGTCAGCTGAGGCCGAACAAGCTCACAAATAGGGCTGACTGTTGTTCTAGCAGGCAAGCATACGTGGCAAGAAGCAGTCTTACCTGTCCCGTTGAGTGTGGTGTTTTTGTTCGTGTACAGCCTGATCATATGTCCTATTGTTTTCACATTTTCTCTCAGCATGATGCCTCGGGCTTGCACCATGAAGAGATACGTGTTGGCTGTAAGAAAAAAGAGAAGACGTCAGTCGCGACTCAGTAAGCTCTATGGAATGGAATAGCCGTCCCAATTATTGTCGCCAGAGAAAAACACAAACATCAAATTATTATTTCCCACCATCAAAAATACTTTTATAAGACAATAGAATTGAAAAAAATGACAAAATCCATCTACCAAATTGGCTGAGACAAATCAAACAAATTAAAATATCATAAAGAACCCCTCTATCCATAAACCATTTCCATTCAAAAGACTTTTAAAGTTTTTGAAAAGCTTTGTATAATAAGTGTAAGGTCACAGAATTACATAGTTTACATCCTTTACTTCTATTTTAATTCCTCAAACCATCCTTCTTCAAAAAAATACTCCAAAGTAAGTAAACCTTACCTAATTATAAATATATCATAAATTACTGGAATAGCTTGTGGCCACTATGGGTCTTGTATATTCTCAAAGTGCTAACTGAGAGACGACCTAGAATTAAGATCTATTTTTGTTAATTTCTCTCAGAGAATTAATTATTCAAACTTTACAAGTCTCCCTACCAGCAGCGTAGCAATAAAACAACTCAAACTCGATGTGTATTTTAAAGTTGGGTCAATTAAATTCTCTGGAATAGGTGCTACAAAAATAACCACTGACTCCCCCCCACCCCCTGCTTTCTTCCTATAGAAAGGGCAGTGCCACACTAAATGTTCTCTTCTACTCTAAATTCTCTAGAGAGAAAGTCAAACTATCCTATATTCCACTCACACAAAACATGGAGCTTCATTATCACAGCAAAAGCAAAAACAGTAAGCCTCAATTAATACGTTTCTGAGTTAAGACAGGCTAGCTCATGGCACCTCAGATGCAACTGGTCCAGAAGACAGAAGAGTAAACAAGCCCAAAGGTTCATGGAAACACTTCGTCCAGTGGACCAGGAACGCACCGTGCAAACATCAATCTCGCTGACCCCCAAACCAGAACAAGAATCTGGCAACCAATTGCAGCTGCTCTGGAAAGGATCACAGTAGAAGGTCCTTGATAGAGCAGGAGAAAAATGAAGAACAAAATTCAAAATCATACAAGAGACCAGGCTTAGTGGCCACACAGAGAGTGGGGGACCCCTTGTCCCTCTTTGAATCAAATGATAGGTAAGTCTATAAAGAGCACAGTATCGCTAAGGAGGTATGGGCACCTTAGAATAATCAGCCATTGGATATATTTTTTAATCGTTTTATTAGGGGCTCATACGACTCTTATCACAATCCATACATACATCAATTGTGTAAAGCACATTTGTACATTCATTGCCCTCATCAGTCTCAAAACATTTGCTCTCCACTTAAGCCCCCGGCATCAGGTCATTTTTTTCCCCTCCCTCCCCGGTCCCCCCTCCCTCATGAGCCCTTGATAATTTATAAATTGTTTGTTTTGTCATATCCTGCCCTGTCCGATGTCACCCTTCACCCACTTTTCTGTTGTGCGTCCCCCAGGGAGGAGGTCACATATAGATCCTTGTAATCGGTTCCCTCTTTCCAACCCACTCTCCCTCTACCCTCCCAGTATCGCCACTCATACCACTGGTCCTGAAGGGCTCATCTGCCCTGGATTCCCTGTGTTTCCAGTTCCTATCTGTACAGTGTACACATTGGATATTTTTTAAGGCAGCACTGATCCAAGGACAGAGTCCAAAAGGTTTAGGAAAGGCCTGAAAGTAGGAAAGACCAGGAGGTCGTGGGATGAGCCATGTTATACTGTGGGGATCACAAACCATGACATGAAACAAAATGTGAATGAAAACAAAACAAAAAAACCAGATCTGCTCTGAAAACCCCCACCCATTTCACAGTAAAAGGTGGTTAAAAAGATAAGCTGGCTTTGAATACAATTATGATCACTCCTTGAAAAATGAATGCAGAATGGAATTATTTAAGAATGACCACTAATTTCCTGGGCCCTGCTCTATCTCGAGATGAGATAAAGGGTTCAGGAAAATTTGGTATTTATTATCTCCATTGCCATTTTCTTTGTAAATCTTAATTTGTTCCAAGTCAGAAAAAAATGACAGTAAACTAGGTGAAATAAGTCAACACGAAAGAACATTATATGCAACCATTAATATTAAAACTCAATATTTTCACACACACACAGAAAAAACAATAATAGTTACCAAGTATTTGAGGGGAAAGGAGGGGAAATCACTAACTACAAGGTAGACGCAAATTAACTAGAAGGCAAATACAATAAAATAGAGATGCACAAAAATAAAATGATGAAATCAAAGCAAGACCGTGGTGGGAGCACAAGAGTTAAAGACAACCAAGGGAAAACCGGTTCTACAGACAATCCTGCCACTCGGTAATCTGTAAGTGCATTCTGACCGGCCCCCGGTGAACGGGCGCGGAAGGAGAGTGGGACAGTCCCCATGAACATACATGTCAAGGTTTGAGAGACGTTATTTCAGGATTTCATCTTGCCTGGATCCACTATCAATGTTCACAGAAACAGCAGCCAAGAGATCAAACGGCACGTGACAGTGGGTAAATTTGCTGCACAGGGCTTCTTTCACGTGTTTAAAAGCTACGAGGCTACCTTCTCTTTTAGGCTGTCACTCTGAGGACTGAGCTGAGCCTGACTCAAACCATGGTATTTTTGATTGCTTCATAAGGATGTGAAACGTGGACACTGAAGAAGGAATATCAAATAACTGATGCCTTTGAATTATGTTGCTGGCAAAAAATATTGAAAGTACCCTGAGCTGTCAAAAAAACCCCAAAAACCCAAATCTCTGTTGGAAGAAATCCAGCTAGAAAGTTCCTCAGAAGCAAGTATAGCAACTTTGTCTCCGGTCTCTTGGACATGCTGCCAGGAGGAACCAGCCCGTGGTAAAGGACAGGCTGCTTGGTAAAGCAGAGGGGCAACAACAAAGAAAAGCAGCAGCCCTCCATACGATGGACTGACACAGTTGCCTGACAGCGGGCTTCCACAAACCCTGGGGAGGAGGTTGCAGGACGGGCGTTTCCTCCTGCTGTTCAGTGGGCTGCCATGCGTCAGAACTGCTGCAACAGCACTTAGCAGCGCCAGCAGCAATGTGCGACCCACACACCCGTGCATGGAGAAGCGCCTACAAGGACAAGGGTGTGAAAACGACTCAGATAGAGCCAAACAGTTTGAGAGGAGTCACTGGACCAGAGGGTCAGAAGCAGTCTCGGTGGACACAAAACACAGTTCACAGAAGCCCAATGTTATAAATCCTACTTGAGCAGCTAAAACCCCAAACACACAACAAGCAACACTCATAGAGAAGCACATGTCCTTTCACTTTCAATCCACAAAAATGATCAAAAGGTCCAGGTTTCACACAAGCTTTGCCTTAGTAATTGTTAGGCACAGGCCTACCACCGTTCTAGAAAGAGTACTATAGGTAGGTTTAACTTGTTCTGGCCCAAACTCGCTGCTCCAGGCTTTTAAAAAAGAAGACAGTTTTTATTGTGTTTTAGCTTTTCAGTGAGCTTTAAGAGATGTATGAGGAAAAAAAAGAAAAAACACCCAAAAAAGGCAGTCAAACTGTAGAAAAGTATTAAATAAAAGCCAAACTAACTTTCCCAATTCTTGCTAAATCAAAAGCAAAAGTTCAACTGAGATGACGGGGATGCATCGTGTCCATTACTGTATCCGACTGGTTTACACCACTTTGGAATACTTAACCATAAAGTTGTGTGCAGATCTGTTATCGATGACGTGAACATCTTATTAATATTTTTTCTGTACCAAGCTGTAAAAGGAGGGATGTTACAGAGTATGGGAACCAAGCCAAAGACGCAAACCCCCCAGGCTTCTGGGAATTATGTTGATCTAAGCAAGGAAATGTTTGTGGGAAACATGGGTGCGTTCTTGTGCGTATTGAAAGCCAAATTGGCACTCTATTAAAATAATGATATGAACCATTATTCTTCTTGTCCTTTTAACATACCTACTCTTAAGATGAGGTAGCACAGCGACTTAAGTACCAGTTCCCCATCAGAAAGCCAGCAGCTCAAACTCCCCAGCTGCTCGCTGAGAACTCTGTGAGGACGATGCTATTCTGTGCTGCAGGGTCAGCACGCTTCAGAGCCAACTCACCGACAGTGAGTCTGGCTGTCCTGGATACTTACATAGCGAAAACTGCGGGACATCTTGAAGCCAAATCAAATGTAAGGAGTGAAGGAAAGCAGTGCAACAGAAAGACATAAACAATTTCAACATTTCCAAACACGAACAAAACTGTTCAGAATAAAGAAGATTGCCAATGATGCCTTTGGCAAATTTACCAAAATGCTTCACTTGGGACTTTTCCGATGGAAGGAAGCCTTGGTGGCACCAAGGGGTAAGAACCCGGTTGTTAACAGAGAGGTAGAGACACAGACCCACCAGCCGCTCTGCAAGGAAGAAAGACCTAGGGATTTGCTCCTAGAATTGTCTGTCAATAGACATAACCGATGGTGTAAGATGCGGTAAAAAGCAAAACACCCCCCAAAACCAACCAATAAGTAAAAATAAGGGTTCCTGAGGGCAGGGGGCCATGGGTCAAGGGGAGCTGATATCAAGGAGTTCAAGAAGAAAGAAATGCTTTGAAACGGACTGTGATAGCAATTGCACAACACTGCTTGATCTGATTGAACCATGGTATGTTATCTATACTTGCTCCCAATAAATTGATAAACATAAAAATGATCACAGCCTCAGGAACCCCCCGGGCCAGTTATACTCTCTCCTATAGGGTCGCTAGGATCAGAATCATGTCAAGGGCACCCTGGGCAGCAGATAGCTTGGGAGTGGGCTGGTGAGAGAAGCCAGACATCGAGCTCTCCTAAAGGAGAACTCACGAGTTCCTTTGGAATCATTTACTGCAAATGAGTCACATTGCTTGTGTTCATGGTCCTCATGGGTTTAATCCCTAAAGATAAAAAGTCATTAGATGTTGAAGTGATGCTCAAATAGAGACTTGTTGTTAATAGAAAGAAAGAGATGTT